CAAGATGTACTGCTGTGATGGTAATGATGCTCAGAAGACTCTTCTTGCGGAAAGTGGAGAGCCTTTGACCAAATTGACCCAATGGAATCTTAATTACGGTGATGGAGGTCGCCCATTTTCAATCACCGAAAATCGTCAATTGAATATAATTAGAGATACTTTGAAGCAAGAATATACTGATTTTTTGAATGAAAATAAAATCGATTTCATCCTTAGTCCTACTTATAATAATGTTGCGCCTAGACCAGAAGAGATTTATAACTGGTCTTACACTTCTCTTTTCAATATATTGGATTTGCCAACTTTAGTTTTCCAAACTGGATTGTTTCAAGATCCTAAAGTCGATAAGTGGGATGATAGTCATAGCACCTATGAGTTTAGAAGCGACTTAGAGAAACTAGAATTGGATAATTATATTCCAGAAAACTTCATTGGCGCCCCTATTGGTTTACAATTGTCCGGTAGAAGATACTTTGACGAAGAAGTTGTGGCTGCTGGTAAGAGCATAATCGAACTTTTGAAAGTAGATTTACACAACATCTACTAGTTGTCGGCTTAACTCCCTAATTGAGTGTGTAATCAATGCAGACTAATTAAACCTTAAATTGTAGAAAATGTAACCTCGCTCATAAAAGGTTGCAAATATCTTTTTTTCCGTTACTTATTTTCGGAATGCAACACTTCGAGATGCAGAATCTAATCCATTGGCAGATTCTATTACAGGTCCTTAAGCAACTCATCTTGATTCGAAATATCCGTCTTTATTGGTTGGTGTATTCATATTGGCTCTCAAAATGAAATCTTCCCAAACGAGTAGGTTCTAGCCGATCCGATATTACCCCAAAATCATTGAATCCATATTAGGCAACTCATTCCATTCCGCTTTTCACGCTAACAAAAAAAAAAAAAAAAAAAATGTACAACTCCCGCGTCTTTCTTATCGACTATAGTGATTTTGATCCAAATTATTTAAAGTGCCCCTTATCGGTCTCTCCTGTGGTAGATAAAGTGCAGCTATTCCTCCTTTACAGATTGGTTTTCGGGAGTTCTGAGTCTTCTTCTTTTTTTTTTTTTCAGTTTCGATCTAATATATCATTATAATTGAGTTGCCAATATGTCAATCTCTCACACTAGCTTTTTAACTCTGGAAAACTTCGAAGGTTTCGAAAATGCTGAAAAATATGCCAGCTTCGTTCCAAAACTTGAAGCTTACAGAAAGAAATTGGAAGATGCAATTCTTCCTGAATATAGCATTGAGTTACCGGGTGATATTGATGAGTTGAAAACTAAACAATTCAACCCATTGAAGTATATTTATGAAAAAAACTTACTTAGTGAAGCGGAATTCAATATCACCGATACTCCAGCTTCTGAATTGGTCCCTAAATTGGCTAAAGGTGAGTTGACTGCTGTTGAGGTCTTCAAGGCTTTTGCT